ATTACCATTGAGATGTACAAGCCATGATGTATGGTTCCTGGGCCAGCCAAGGTGTCCCTGGATCTGCAGTGGGAGGGAGGCCTTTGTGGTGGTTAAAGTTGCCCTGGGATTCAGGAGTCACTGAAGACTGCTGGAGATTGGTCTCTCACTTTACCAATGTGGAGGCTTGTGATGTCAGACGGAAGCTGCACCCTTCTGCCTCCTGGATGCCTGTATACTTCATTATGTGTGAAGAAGCTAGGTCTTAGGAGTACCCTGAATCCCTGGTCTTGTAGGTAGCTGCAAGTAGTGACCCAGCTCCAGGTGGGTACTGGAACCCCATAGCCCCACAGTCTGAGGCTGACCTGGAAGGACAGTGGACTGAAGGAACTCAGGTTACCAGGAGTCTGAAATCAAACAGAGTGGACTGTTGGTTCTTTCTGATTTAGACTCGTAGACTTCAATGATCGGTAGTAGCTTTTTAATCAGGAGTCCTTGGATAAACATCCTGCTCAGCTGCTAACTGAGAAATCAAGAGCCCAGCTGGAAGCACTTTGGAAGAAATGATCTGCTCTGGAAAAATCTGCAAAAGAAAACCTTATGGGACACAGTTCTGCTCTGACACACATGGGGCTGCAACTCTACAGCAACTGGTTGTTGTTATGTGCTGTGGAGTCGGTTTCGACTCATAGCGACCCTGTACAAGGTTTCCGAGGCTGTAAGTCTTTATGGGAGCAGAAAGCCTCTGGTAGTTTCAAACTGCTGACCTTAAGGTTCACAGCCCGATTTGTAACCACTACGCTACCAGAGCTCCTACAGCAACTGGTAGGTAGCATTTTAATAAACCATAGCAACAAGGGGTCCTGGTGCGGCACTGTAAGGATAAGAGCTGAGCTTCTAACCATAAGGTCAGTGATTCAAAGTCACCAGCAGCTCCACAAAAACCCTATTAAGGGTTGCTATGAGCCGGAACAAACTTGAGGACACATAACAACAACAAGAAGCAATAAGGGAGTTTTGGGAAATCCTAATTTCTGCAAATTCCAAATCAAACATGATAAATTGGTCACTCCCTTAGGAATTTGCATGTTTACCATTCTAATCTGCTTCTAGTCTGCCCTTTCCCAGCTCATGCAAAGATTGTATGGTTCGATATTGCTGTAGAAATGAAACCCATGGCATTTGTGAAGAGCAGGCTGATTCACCACAATGTCTTGCTTACAGCTGTTTTAGCATCTTATCCCAGACTATGCCAACATTTGGAATCTTAGAAGATTACAAGATGAGCACAGGTCAGAATCTTTGAAGGGATTTTAAGAGGGCTATGCTCACTGTTTTACAGGAAAGAATACAATCCCAAGAAGAAGGTATTTGCACCAAATCCCAGGATTTGTACCAGATCTCAAAGGGAGTTAGGATAAGGAAAGAAAGATGTAAGGAGACTTTTGAAAATTAAAACAAAACAAAACAAAGGAGAGCACTGGGTTTATTCTCTTCTTAAAGGATTAAACACCTTTTCCTGTTCTGGATATTTTGGAAGACAGGTTTAGTTTTGACAAAAAAAAAAAAAAATTCTTCAAAAAAAATTTGAAAAAAAAAAAAAAAAAAAATGCTGGAAAACATAATAGACTTTAATACAAATGATTTGGGAGAGCCAGTTATAAAATTTCACACTTCTTTGTCAGTGTTGGGGTCAAGACCAAAGGACAGGCCACCCACAGGAACAACAACAGTATGGAGGCAAAGCTTTAGCCTCTGGCTTCCTGGAATCTCAGCTGGAAAGAGCAGTGTCAGTTCTAGTCTGTCAGTTTGGAGAGAAGACTGGGAAGACCATGGGGTCCTCACCTTGAGGGCACAGCAAGGGCTTGGCCTCAAGACTCATAGTTCTCTCTACCTCTGCCCTCCTGCTGGCCACCAGCTGCTCCTATCACAAATCCAAACCATAGAGCTGTTTTTAACTCATGATGACCCATGTGTGACTGAGCAGAACTGCCCTGTCGGGAGCGGTGTTCTTGCCTGTGATATTTATAATCTTTATGGAAGTAGTTTCCCTGGCCCTTCTTCATTAGTGCTGCTGGGTGGGTTTGAACTGCCGATCTTTAGGTTAGTAGTTGAGAGCAATCTGTTGTGTCACCCTGGGGCCTTCTATTGTAGACAGTGCTGATGAAAACAGTGTTGTTGTATAAACTTGTATGCCTCCTTGCATAGGTACCTGTCAGACCGTTTTCAGATAGGAGAAAATTGGGGATATCCATGCCAAAGCAAGGAGCCCTGGTAGCCTAGTGGATTATGAGCTGGGCTGCTAAAGACAAGGTCAGCAGTTCAAATCTACCAGTCGCTCCGCAGGAGAACAACGAGGCTTTGTGCTTCCATAAAGATTTACAGCTTTGGAAACCCTATACAGGGTCACTATGAGTTGGAACCGACTTAGTGGCAAATAATCACTACCACCATGCTAAGGCTGATGGGAGCTTCCAAAGATGATACTGTCTGAGTGAGGCACTTAGTGCTTCTCCTCATGAAATCTGAGAAAAGCTCATCTCCAAAGATAGGAGAGGTTGTATTGTCATTTGTGTACACTGCATTAGTGTCAGGCACTATGCGAGGCTTTAGGATTACAAGGTTGACTAGATGTATGGCTCAGGGGAGAGATCAACTCTTGCAAATACATATTTCCAAATTGTGCATGTTGTGAAGGAAAGAGCTTGGGTTCTTGGGGTTGGCCGTCTATTTTATTCAGGAGGTTGAGGGCAGGCCTTCGGGGAGAGAGACCTGAAGTCCTGATAAGAGATCTGGGCTGCAGAACCTTTGTGCTCTGGCTGTGAAGCAGGAAAGATGAGTTGGGTGAGTTAGAACTGAAAGAAGGACAGAGTCAGCATAAGGTTCAGAGGGAGGGGGTAGGTGGAGGCCAGAGGAGGCTTTCAGGTGGGGAGCTTCTGAACGGTTTTAACAGCAGTCTGGCTGTGGATGGAGATGGATGGAAGTGGGGAAAAGTAGAAATGAGGATTGTATAAGTCCAGTTAAGAGGTGATGGCTATAAGTCCAGTTAAGGGATGATAGGAATGACATGACTGGCCACAAGAGGTGTAGGGAACAGGAGATGAGGGAACCAGGGATCTTATTATTTTTTTTTTTAAATGTTTTATTGTGAATTATGTGATAGTTTACATGGGAGAACATTAGCTTTACATTCATCCTGTGGTATATCGTTTCATTGCCATGGTTACAATCCCCTCCATGCATCATCAGCCAAACAAACAGTACACCCCGCAAGCCTGCCCCCGGTCGTCAGCACATAACCCTTCTCCCTCTCTGGGTTTAGAGTACCTAGTCATTCCATCTCTTCACATCATCATCTCTGCCTCCATCTATGGCATCACTGTTTCTCTGGATAGGGTTGGGCTCTCCACTCTTCTCCCTTGATGGTCCCAAGGCCCTCCGCTCCTGGACTGAAAAGTCAACCACTCTCCTCCTTTTGCTACAAAATGTCTAACTTTACATTTCCAACCCTCACAGTCAGTTCTGATAACAATTATTCACTGTTGTACCAAATGAGTGCCATCCCCATCGCCTTTCATCAACCCCGCCCAGACAGATTGGATACTACTCAGTGGAGATTCTACCTTCCTTCACACCCTCTGGATCTAGGCTCCCTCTTGAAAGCTCGTAAGCCAGTCACTTCTTGCCTTTAAAGCCCCCTCCCCCTTTTTGGGTAGCTAATGTCCAAGTTGCCCATCCCTGTTTACCCTGTGTATTGAGGGGGTGGGAATGATCCTAACTGTAAAGATTTGTTCCTTCTTTTGAGCTACTGCATCCATAGGTGTAGGTCAAGTTCATCAAATTGTATCAGGTTACTCTTTTTTTTTTTCCCTCTTCTTTCTTCTTCTAGTTGAGCTCTGATCATCCAGCCATTGAAGCCAGGTCAAGTGGGTATTATCTGCAAGTGTGGGTGTTCTTGTGCATATGCCGTCTCTTCTTATCAGATGGATGCTTCACTCTCCACTCTAGTCCTCTGTCACTGACTCTGGGCCCAGGAATCTTCAGGTTTTGCCACACTGTTGGCCAACCAGGTCTCCACCTGGGTTCACAGAAGTCTATTGAACGTGGTAGAACTTAGCTCACAGCTTCATTACTGTTTTTCCCTCACTTCCCCTTATTGGTGACCAATGTGGTCACCAGTCAAACCAACACGACTGCTCGTGTATTCCCCATGAGTCCTAATCTTGGAAGGGGGTTTTCCCGGCCACTTGCCTTGATGTCTACTGGGCGAGCAACTTGCTTGTTCTTGTAGTAGTCAGTCAGACTGCCATTATTTTTTATTTTTGCTGTTGGCTTTTCTTTTAAGAAGTATCTTCTGTTCTTCTAGCCACTCCAGGCTGGTCTGTTTGTCCTTTCCAGTGGAAATTTCCCACCACAGAAGATTCTGGATGCTGTTCAGGATTCTACCTATGGTCTTATGTAATTCAGAGACTCCACAGGAAACCTCCATCACTGGACAGGTTGTAGCCCCGTTTTAGACATTCCAATCAGTTATAGGCAGAATATGGACTTACAAGCATTCTATGGTGATATTTCTGGCTATTCCTTTCTCTCCTCCTCAAGTGTCTATTTTATAATGGTATGCCATGGAAACCAAAATTCAAAAGACAGCCTTGCATCTTAACATTGTTTCCCCCCTTTTGCCCATTCCAACCATGTTTCAATCCCTGTAGCCCAGAGCCCTGTTTGGGAACAGGGATCTTGTCACAGGAATTTAGAACCAGCCTGTTTGAAATGTGGTTTTCCCTTGATCTTCACTAGTCTCTATCCAGCTATGTTCTCAAGTCAGAAATGGAATAAATCCTATTGTCCCTGTTATTTTTTAAAAGAGAAAATTCCGTTGCTATTTTGTGGTCTTTAATAAACTTGTGTACTAAACAGATTTTATTCTTTTGCAGAATGTGGTGGTGTTCCACGGTATAGGCTGACACCATAATTTACCTAACCTACATGTCTCTGCTCTTGTCTTCCCCCTCTTTCAGGTTGACCAGTATCTCTACCACATGCGTCTTTCTGATGAGACCCTTCAGGAGATCTCTAAACGGTTCCGCAAGGAGATGGAGAAAGGGCTTGGAGTCACCACCCACCCCACTGCTTCAGTGAAAATGCTGCCCACCTTTGTGAGATCTACTCCAGATGGGACAGGTACTGCATCTGTGGGAATGGGCCTGGGTGCAGCATTACTGCAAGGTAGTTTGGGTGGTTGTTCTCTGGAGTCCCAAGAATCATGTGCTGTTGAAGGTTCTATGGATTCAAAAGTCAGGAACTAATCCTGGCATTCAGGAGTTAATGGAATGATACAGAACAGCTGGAAGATTACAAAGTAGGTGGCCTTGAGGGGCCCAAGGTAGAAGTACCGCTGCTGCTGGGTACATGCCTGCCAACCGTTTTCTTGCCATCCATGTTCTGGGAAAGGCTGCTTGACTCAGCTTGGGAGGATGCGGTGCTTTGGTTTTATAGTCCACCAAGACGGGACATGGTGATGGAGGTTAAGTAACACAAACATACCTCACAATGGTCACAGCCACAGATTGTGGCATCCACTGGCACATCCTGTAGGCATCCTGGAGAAACAGGACAGTGCAGAGTTTCTCTGATTGTTCCTGGCATATTCTCTCTTTATGTGTCTCAGCCCTTCAAAGAGCTCCTTGAGGTGACGGGCCCTCCCAGATGACCTTAGGTTGGCATGCTTAGTGTACCTGCCTCTCACTCTGATTAGTAATTCTTTTCCTTTCTTTTGTTTCCGTTAGACTTGCTGATAAAATTACAAACTCCTTCAAACCAGAGGCTTTGTCTTTATCTATCACAGCACTAGCTCTGGTCAGGCCCCCTAAATATTTACTAGATACATAGCATGACCTACGGACTATTCTCTGTGCTTCCATGTATTAAATCATTGACTTGTCACAGAACCCCAGAAAGTAGGTAAACATTTTATCCACATTTTTTTAGATGAGGAATTTGAGGCATGGATGATCAAATAATTTGCCCAAGGTCACCCAGTTAATAAGCAGCGGAGTCAGGATTCAAATAGGATATGCCAAAGTTCAGGCCCGAAGACTCCACCTGACCCATTGCTGTGCCCTTGAGCATGTGCACACGGCACCAGGGCTCACACTGCATGCTCACTCAGATTATTTCAACAGGGTTTGCTTTGGTGGGTGCCATTGAGTCTGTTCTTGTTCTGACTTAGAGCTGCCCTACATACAACAGGATGAAACAATGCCCTGTCCTGCACTGTCCTCGTAGTTGTTGCTGTGCTTGAGCCTGTGTTGTTGCAGCCACTGACAGTCCATCTCTTTGAGGATCTTCTTCTCTTTCGCTGACCCCTACTTTATCAAACATGACATCCCTTTCCAGGGCTGACATGTCCAAAGTATGTGAGATGAAATCTCTCCATTCGTGCTTCTAAGGAACATTCTGGCTATATGTCTTTCAACACAGAAATGGTTGTGGTTGAGTATTTACAAATGTATTGTGGATCCCCTTCATTGAGGAAAACTACAAGTGGGACCAAAGTATTTTATTCTTGTGGCTTCGCTGAGATTGGTGATACAGCGACCACTCCGTGGCCTTTGAGGTTTGCACGGGATGCTGCATTGTCTGGTTGTTGCGTCTCCTTCCCTGACCTCAGGTTGGAATTCTGGTAGCCTCAGGTTGGAGCAAGCAAGTGCACTTTTGCTCTCCATAAAAGTTGAGCTGGCCTGGACTGAGGGCAGGAAGCCAGTGGATGATGCCTGCAGCCCTCTGGCGTGGGAGCGTCCTGCTTTCTGTGTAGAAACTGGAGGTTTATGACAGCTTTTGTGCTACCCAGATGACCTCAGTGTAGGTGAAAGCAGTAGTGTGTTATCTAAATATGGTGTTCACTTAAGCCAACTCATCACAGTCTGGAGCAGAGGAGAAAACTGGCACTCAGCCCCCCCTCACCTCCCTGGGCCCCCTCCTCGTCTCTCTCCAGAGGAGCTGCTCTCTGTAAAATCAGGGTTTAGTCATATTTATTACACTCACATACACACACACACACACACACACACTCTGAAATTCAAAGGAGCTTCAGAATATTCATAGAAAAGTGAAGGCAATGGAATTTTTCCATGAACTCTTTGAAGCCTCCTCATACCACAAAGGGGAATTTTGTTGTTATTAATAAACAAAACCCTTAATGTCCATATTCAAACTCACCAGCCACTCCTCAGAAACTCTGTACAGGGTCTCTGTGAGTTCGAAATGACTCGACGGCACTTAACAACAGTAACAACAATGTTCATTAGCTGGACACTAATATTCATTATTCCATTCATATTTACATGATACACTCTTCTGCAATGCATTATAAAGAGTGAGATAGAATATTTGGAGTATGATCCTGTTCTGTAAAAACTGTTTGATGTATTTATATGCATATTCGTATATCTGTATGTATGTAAATTTCTATATGTATATGTGTGTCTTCAGGCCTATAGGGTCTCAAGGCCAGAATCAAACTATTAATAGAGGTTGTCCTGTGACATGAAGCTAGCCCTAGATAGCAAAATGGAAAACATAGACATATAGCAATTCAACCATTCCACTTCCAAGTGTACACTCTGATGAAATCTCTATGAACCTCAGGAGATGTGCCCAAGACTGTTCATAGCAATGTAGCTTATAAGGATTAATATATTGGAGTCCGTTTATGGCACATTCGTTTGATGGAATATGATGGAATGTTGTACAGCAACTTTATCAAACAATCTCAAGGCAATGTTCCACATTAGTTGTGGCTACATAACCACACGTCATAATAATATTAGAATATAAACTCAAATCAGTACATAAATGTTAAGGGTCGTTTCTGGAGAAAGGAAAACAAAACTTTAGAGGGAGATGCAAAGGAACTTAAACCTTGGTTGGCTCAAGGCTTTCAAGTTTATGTTTTGTCAGTTGGGGTTACGAGCGATGCAATGTGGCTGTGACTCCCTGAGTAGGGCAAACTGAAAGGCTGGAGATTTGAATCCACCCAAAGGCAACTTGAAAGAAAGGTCTGGCAGTTTCTTTCCAGAAGTCACACCATGCAATTGGTAGTGTTGAAGTGTGAACCTGGGCAGCTGTCTCGAAAGCTTGAGTTCTTAACTCTATAACCTTTTATGCTTATAGGCCAACACCCCACTCCTCCCTGGCGAACGCAGTGCATTACTTAGTCTATTAGGGACTCAGATCTGGCTGCTCAGTTCGTTGAGCTGAGCCCCCTCCTGGGCTTGGTCCTGTGTGGGCAGCAGTATGTTAAGGTGCCTGGGTCTTATCTTTGAAAATTGCCCTTGTGAAAATAAGGATTGCACAGATGAAACAAGAGTGGTGCTGGGCCATAGAACACAAGCACACCATATGCTAAAGGGAGACTATTAGGAGAGGTTGTGTGGAGGTTGGTAGAACCTGAAAGAAGCCCTTATCTTGGTTGTTCAGCATTGTGTCAACAGCATACAGACGTGAGACGTATGTCAACAGCTAGCTCACAATCAAGTTAATAAGTGGATTCATGTGATGCCTACAATGTAAACTCAAGTTTGTATTGAAAAATAGCCTCTGCATCCGAGTTGACTTTTGTCAAACATTTACATGATCCAGGCATTGTGTGAAAAGCCTTACACATTTATTGATTGAATCCTGATAGAAGATGGTATTTATGTGCCTGTCTCCATTTCCAGGGCGAGGGGAGGAGGGTGATTGCTAGAGAGTAGGTTAGTGCTATTTTCTTTTTACAGATAATGAAATTTGATTATTTGATGTATTCGATTTCTAGTACTTTACCCAAAGTTGCATAACTAATAGATGTTTGAACCTAACTCGGCCTCCCTGTAAAATGTGACATGCTCACCTTCTACCCAGCACTGAAACTGTTTTAGACCTGTGAAGAGTGAATTCTCACTTACGGGCCTAATGTCTCACCTCTCTGTGACTGGCATATATTTGGAGCTTTAGAAGTGTTCGTTCTCTGAGTGGATGAACCAGGAAGATGCTTTCTGACAGCACTGTGGGAGCTGGGGGGCAACCTTCAGTGGTCTTATGTGTTCCAGGCCCCTCCCTTGAATGGAGCAGCTCTACTTTTCTTTCTTTATTCTATCCTTTGACATATCAGTGTTATTTTGGGGGATATTCTGTTGCATAAAGAGATTTGAAGCCCAGTGATGCAGAAGACCAGATGACTTCATTTCTTGTCTGCCAGACATAGCATTAATGGATTGTGTGATTTCGTTGATAACATTGAGTTACTTTATTGCTGAACTATTGAGGAGAGACAGGTGTTGCATTGCAGTGAAATAGCTGGGACCCTTGAACTTTAAAAGTAGTCACTGTGGTAGTTCCAGGTGTATGGGAAGTACACACCTTAAGGACCCCGTGCTAGTCAAAGATCGTTTTGCTGGGTTTACCTCTTAGGATCTGGCTGGAGATGTATCTTTTTAGTTTCCGACTTGTAGTATACTCAGTAATCAGTTGCCATCAAGTGAATTCTGATTCATGGTGATCTCTTGGGTGTCAGAGTAGAACTGGGCTCCACAGGGTGTTTCTTCAGAAGTAGTTTTCCAAGTCTTTCTTCTGAGGCAGCTTTGGGTGGACTCAAACCTACATTCTTACAGTTATTAGCTGAGCTCGTTTACACCACCCAGGAACATCCTCTCTTCCTCTCTGTCTGCACACACACACACACACACACACACACACACACACACACACACACAGAGAGAATCTGTTGCCATTGAGTCAATTTCAACTCAGAGAACCGACAGGACAGAGGAAAATCTCTCTGCAAGGTTTCCAAGTCTTTAAATCTTTACAGAAACAAACTGCCACAGCTTTCTCCCAAGGAGTGGCTGGTGATTTCAAACTGTGGACCTTTTAGTTATCAGTTGTGCACCAGGGCTCCCTTTATATATATGTATGTACTGTTCTTGTTAAGTGCTGTCAAGTTCGTTCTAACTCATAGGGACCCTGTAAACAGTTTCAGAGACTATGTATCTTTGTGGGTGTAGAAAGCCTCATCTTTTTTTCTACGGAGTAACTAGTGGGCTCAAGCCACTGACGTTGTTCACAGTTCAGTATTTAACCTACAGAACCACTCCAGATGTGGCACTATAGGATAAGCACTGGTTATTACGATAAGCAATGTC